TTTTTTTACAATTAATTTCCAAGTCCTTTAGAGATATTATGAAAGAAAATCGCAAAAAGTGATCTCGCATTATTCGTTTATTATTAAGAATAACAGCTTCGAAAATAATATTATTAATAATAATAATAGTAATAATAATTCCAAGTTCTTTTTTACTGTAATTTCATATTTATCTCTTTTTATACGCGCATTGAGATTATTATTTAAATATGCGTTGTATTAAAAAGTTTCGGAAAATGAAACGAGATCGATCAAAATTATTGGCGAATGTTTTCTCCTACGAGCAAAATAAAAAAATAAAATAAAATAAAATTGTAGCTTTTATAAATATTTCATGCACCAGTTACGCGATAACATTCAACGTGTCTTTGAATTTCGAAGTAAAATCGTAAAATCCTACCGAACCGTATAAATTTTGCAACAAGTTCGATCCTGTAGTCGAATTCTGCAAATTGATGAACAGTCGATTCAAATAGTCGATTCGATATCATAGATATATGAACCTCGATAAATAGAATAATTCGACGTGAGAAAAAGCAAAACTTTATATAAAAAAAAAAAAAAAAAACAAGCGTCTATGGTAGTCTCTCGTGTATAACGCATAACACGTGATGTACGAATTCACATTATTATCGTATTGTACAAAAATATTACTGGCATAACCCGTCCTTTTTTTCTCCTTGAGATAATTCTTCTTAATAACGTAATGGTCGAAAAATAAACAATTATGAGAAATAAAAAATTAATAGCGACGAAGACAATTTAATACTCACTTAAAGCTAATGTAATTTTGAAACGTAGATAATACTTGCATTTAATTATATAAAAAACAGTAGTAGTGATATTTTCAATGAATTTAAGAAATTCTCGTTATACGGTAGTCTACTATAAATGATTTCCATTTTTTCCACCCTTTTCTCCTTCCCCTTATTGTCAGTGAATATGACGTTAATCCTAAAAGTATAAAGCAAGAAAAGAAAACATGAAACAAGTATTAAGAAACAAAGGGAAAAAGAGAGAGAGAGAAAAAAAGAAAGAGAGAGAGAGAGACAGACAGAGGGAGAAATAATATAAAAACAATTCATCGAAACAATTAAAAAATACGAATGGCAAGTGTCAAAGTTATTCATAAAAAGAAAAAAAAAGAAAAATAAAAAGAAAAATAACAAAAATAAATCCGGCGATAGAAAAAAAAAAATCGTAAAAGCAAGAACGATAGAGTCTAATGAATTGACAGGAATATATGAAGTTGGAATGAAAGGAGTAAGGAAGGTGGGAGGTTAAATACGTGATCAAGCTAACGAAACTAAAAGGACGATTTTGCGCAATCGAGTTTTCGGTAGCATATAAGAAGAACGCCGCGCACCACCAGTTGCCATTAGACACCTTATAGCACACCGGTCTATAGCTTTTAATAATAAAACTAGTCGGAAAAACAATTTGTTCTTTTTCTTTACGCATCTCGCCTTGATATCGTATTTTCACGCTATTTATGCGCCGAAGTTTCTTCATAACATAAATAAATATACATATAATTATATATAAATATCTGTATCAGTATCTATTTATGTATATTTATATTAGTGCACAAGGTGGAATTAAAAAAACATCAAAGTGTATCTACTTCGCGCGAAATATTCGTAAGAAATATAACGGAATTAAATTAGGTAAGTGATAATTTTATATTTTTATTATTATTAATTTTTTCTTGTAATTTTTATTACGACACGTGTGATAAATCTTTTTGCAAGTAAAATTATTCAATATTTCGAAACGTTATAAAAATAATACTGAACTTATATAAATGCGATTTGAATTTTCTTTTTATTTATTCGTATTTCTATGAAGATTCTCTTATGAACAAAAATTTATTTTGTTATTAAATAAAATAAATAAATAGTGAATAAATCAAAATGAATAAATAAAATTAAGTTAAATTAACGTAAGAATGTTACTTTTACGCATTCTAATGGTAACATCATTGTTTAACTTTAAAAAACAACTATAAACGATTTATAAAAACGAACGTGAAATTTTGTTACGACTTTTAAAAGCATGTGCTGATGAAATTTTAGCACGAATTTTCTTTTCAAAGCAAAAATGAACAATGAAGTTTTTATCCTTTTGCCCTTTCTCTTTCATTCTCCTCGATATCGATCGATTAATGCACATTATAAAAATGTTTTATAACGCGACAACAACAAAAAGAAAAAAGCGAATTATCAAAAAATCTTGTATCCTCGTATGAAATGTGTGACAAGTAAAAGAAAATATGAGAAAAAAGAACATATAGAGAAAGAAAAAAAAATTATGTGAATAACGATGAACAATCGATTATATTTTTTCACCGAAATATCTTTGATTATAAATTCGAATAAAAAATTGTTGGAAAATCTTTTATATCGAATAAAATTTATATCAAATTAAGTTTTTTTTCTTAAAGAGATTATTTATTAAACGCTAAATCACTCTGGAGATATGTTTATATACATATGTATATAACATGTATATAAATGTATATATATATTTTTTTGATCGAACCGCTTGATTAAATATTCACAAGTAGTAACCAGGAATGCGTTTTCGTTATAAATAAAAGTCTGCATTTGTGAGTAGGTTTTATTTGAATTCGGTCAATGAAAAATTCAAAATAGGTCAAAACGTGATATACTAGGTGGTTATCTTAAAAATATTCGGAGATAATTACAAATTAAAATAAATATAAACGAAACTATCATTATTCGCTAAATAAAAGGGAAGAAGGGAGGAAAGAGAAAGAGCGAAAAAAAAGGAAAAAAGAAAGGAAAAATATATTTCCATTAAAAATAGAAAACAGTTTAAATAATAAAATGAATTTCCAACGAAATGATGATGAACAAATTAAAAATGAGAACAATATAAAATAATAAAAAAAGCATTAAAGTTGGATAAGCAAAAAATAAAAAAGAAATATTACACATATTATATGAACATAGCAACCGATATATGTGAGCTCAAATCTTGCAAACCCTTTTTATTACTTTTTTTCTTTGAAATTTTGTTTCTCAATTTAGCTTAAAGAAACAATCTGCTAATTGTATATGAAATACGAGAAACAATCGTATTTGCGAGAAAAGCCGCCTAGAAAAATTAAAAAAGTCGGGTATTATTTTTTGAAGTTTTCATTTTACGCAATAAGCAAGTCGGAATTAAGAATTAAAAAGAAATTGCTCTTCGCCCTCGATTAAATGTCGGATTGGTAACGAAATTTTGGCACGAGAAATCACTTCAGCCCTTTCATCGAAGTCTCTCAGAACAACGGTAACGCGTCTGCGCACGTTTAATACATTCCCTATGTAACATTCATTTGTTTTAATATTTATTACTTTTTAATAATTACATATTATTATTATCTAAAAATTTTAAACGTATGTAAAAGAAATAAAAAACAATTGTCTCATATTCGAATCAAGGAAATTATCAATTAGTAGATTTCGTATTATTTAGATAAATACACGTGTGTTTAACTAAACAAATGTATGACGTATTTAAAATCAAATTGTAATTCCAATTTATATTGATTCAAATATATATATATATATATATAATGCAATAATTATATTTTTCTTTATTCTAGAAATGTGGCTGCTACTTTTGATTATTACGGCTGACGCAATTATTGGAACTCCCCATTATGAAAACACGGATTCCATACAACAAACATTGGAAGATATTAACAAGGATATTAATTCGGCAGGATTATTACATATGAGTCTTAATAGTGAAAAAGGTAATTGAAATATGTAATGCAAGATGTCAAAAATGAGTAAGAAATTCATTTTATTTATTTGTCAATTGTTCAATAAAGATATTGCAATTTTCTAGATAATGATTTTCAAAAGGATATAAATAAACGATTTGTGGAAGGATCGAAAAGTAACTTTTGGTATGTTTTGAAAAATAGCGAAATTCTACCCACCATTTCATTACTTTACTTACCAACAAATAAACGAGTAAGATTTAATTTATTTTTTATCTCATATTGTAAAAAACAAACAATAAATTCTCTTCGATATTAACATATTTATAATTTCGAACAGAGCTTTAAATCAAATGAATTGGAAGAAATAAAAAATCCATTCTTCAGTCGATGTGATGGCAAACGAGTTAGTCATTTCAAATCATCGAAGAATGAAAGACCCATTCGCATGCCATTTAACAGCTGGGGTGGCAAAAGAGGACATTTGGATGATCCAGCTAATTTTTTAATGATGAAGGGTAGGAAATCATTTTCTGATAAGGATGTTCAGCAAAGCTTTTATGAGTACGTCAAAAGATTGCCCAACTTTGGTAGAAGAACACCATTCTATAGTTGGGGAGGCAAGCGAAGCACAAATTCAGAATTTGACTTAAACAAGAACGTCGATAATACTCCTGAAGAAAAAAGTGAATTTTATTTACCGAACGGTATATATATCTTCTATTATATATGTTTTACTTAATTGTATTTTTAATGTGTGTGTCAGATATATCATCTAATAATTTTCTAATGTTACAGAAGATACAACGGAAACAATCTTGGATGAAATAGAAGATGAAAAACGTGCTGCGCTAATTAAAACTAGTAGATCACGAATTGGTTTTAATAGTTGGGGAGGAAAGAGAAACAGCGATAAGGAGTTTCATTTACCCGTAACTAACGAATCGATAAATTTCGAAGATGTCATTGACAGAAACATAAACCCAACCGATCAACTACAAATTCTAGAAAAGAAAGCTATTAACGAATACTCCAGAAGATTCCACTTTCATCCTTGGGGTGGTAAAAAAAGCACAAATGCAGAAGTCGTAATCATTCCTAATAATTATGATCTTCATGATAATGATCCGGCAAAAGAACGAAAAGTCTTCTTTCCATGGAATGGATAAACTGATGTAGGATATCATTGAAATCAATTATTAACTTCTACAAAAACATTGAAACAATCTTTAAATTAATTCCTAGTAAAAATAAAAAGAACTACCTTTGCAGTTTCATAGAAAGTATTTTTTTTTAATTACAGTTTACTACAAACTTATTCTTAAGCGATCAATCAAGTAATTAACCTTTTTAATGTTTTCTCTAATATCTGATATTCATAGATCTAATCTATAACTTTCTCTAAATTGTAATGTTATTCATTCAAACAATTATATTAAATAAAGAATATATGCACCTTCTATATGTAGCCTTTATATAAATGTTATAATGGTTTAAAGGAATACATGCTTACAAATGTTCCCAACTGAGTTTTTATCCAAATGACAAACAGACATCATCAATATATCCTTCAAATAAATATAAACTAAAATAAATAAAACAATCACTTTGTATCTTTTAATTATACATTTCTCTACTTCTTAAGCAGTCTTACAATGACATTTACACAAAGTACATAACCTATAATTATAAATTGTCATATCACTTAACCTTAAATAAGAAATTTAGAATCTTACATGCAACATTAAAGTTACAAAAACATATTAATGATGTATCCATCATTGACAAAAGATAAAAATAAGTGCTACCATAACTTGTAAATCAAATGTTTCATTAAAAAAAATAAAAAAAGTCGCTAACTAAATAAATTGTTCTCTTCCTTTAGAACTGGATATGTGTATAATAGTATAATATTATTATGTTTAAATATTTATTATATTAATTAATGAATATTGAAAATAAATAAAAACGAAGATGACACTTACTAATTTTATAAGGTTAATCAAAACAGGTGGAAAATACACACACTGCACTACCAAACACTCTTATTCTCTTTCTCTGAAATTTGTAGCACTGTGCTCCCTCTGTGAAAACTTGCATAGACGACAGGAAATATTCAACCAATAGCGTGACAAGACCAAACTTATATACATTTCTGATTGGCTATGTAGCTACGTATAACCAATCAAAAGCGTCTTATTCCAGCATACTTTTTGGGTAAATCCTACCAAATTTAAATCAAATAGTATTATAAGGTTCGTACAGAGAATGGGATTATAAATGGAAAAATAGGATCAATTTTCAAGTATATTTAGTAAGTTTTAAGATTTTTATAATAATGAGACAATATATTTAATTAATAAAACATCAACGCAATAAAAGTATGGGATGAATATAATGAATTATATATTTATTGATATGTTTTTCATTTAATTGTACGTAGACATATATTTATATAGTACATCGATGTGTGTACATTCATAATAATCATTTTACTAATCATCATAATTATTTTCTGTGTTATAATATATACACTTTTATAATTTTTTCATCGTAGCACTCAATCTGTCGATTGTTTTATCCAAAATACAATATATCCTATACAAGATATTTTGTCTGTGAAATTTTGTTCACTTCTTGTAGCTAACGATTAAATTTCAAAAATGACGAATTACGTTTTAGCATTTGTCAGAGAAAAATAAAGTTCAATTAACATTGAGTAGTATGCAGAACGTATGATAACTAGTATATTTGTTTTAAATTTAAATATTATGGCTTCAATTATTTTACACCTTTTGTTACATAACTCTGTGGACGTCATTAATATATGTAATAATTAATAATTAAAGTATAGATAGAAAGTATTGCAAAATGTTATAAAACACGTCTGAAGATATATTGAAAGAAAATTCATTTAATATAAAAAAATTTCAATGAAAATTCTGCTACAGTTAGACCATGAGAGAATGAAAAAAATTAAAAATAAAATATGTTCAAATGTTTAGCATTAATTTATTTGTCTACCATACTTTAGTCACCGAGCATATAATAGTGATGCATCTTATTGTTAGGAAATACTTTCTTTAATTTACATCATTTGTAATTATAGAATATTGTAGGACATATTTCAACCATCTCCTTAATAGAATCCATTCGTATTAACTTAATAACAGACTTTCTTTTTTAATCTAATATTAGTCATTGTCGAGTGAACATTTGTTTTCATATTTGTGCCTTAATCATAAAGTGTATAGGACTATATTAGATTATTTTTAGGACTAAGTTTAAGAATTAAAGTACGAAACAAACTTGTTCCTCTTCCACCAGCCTAAGAAATCCTTTAATTGAGCTTACTAGAAGCATTCACCAAAAACATCCCATCCTGAAGAAGGAGTAGAAATATTTTCTTCTTCTTTTTTTTTAAGAAAGGTACAGAGGAGAAAGACATTGGTGCATTTCAGGTACATCAGCTGCATAAGAAATGTAAATTAGTATTACACTTATCCCATTTCATCTCGTCCCCTTATTAGTTTGATATTTTTGGTAATAGTTTCTCTCAATGTAGATTCGTATTTACTATTTTATTAAATTATACAGTTCAAATTAATTTTTGGAGGAGAAATATATAAATAAGATAACGTATAAGATAAATACTTGCGAATGATGGTTTAAGACTAAAAATTAGACATACAGACATTGTGCAAGTTTTAATATCGCAGATGACTAAAGTATGGTTTCTGATAGAAATAAAAGTATCACTTTTGCGAGGTACACAAATATAGATGTAAATATATCTACTTTATAACATTCAGAGAAAAATATAGTTCCTATCTATCGCTATATATGTTTCTGTCCGTGTATGTACGTATACATGTATATGTATGTGTATATTAAATTTTTTTTTTTTTACCATTTTTATCCTTACATTTACGTCATCGTTATGCATTTTTTAAGAGTTTGGGACATCTAATTGCTTCGCTATAGTAATCTTACTATACGTCTAGGAACGAGAAATAAAGTAACTGTCTTTCTTTTTCTTTTGAACTTTTTCATACACTCTCTATTTCTCTCTCTCTCTTTTTCTTTAACTTTTTCATACTTTCTCTCTCTCACTCACTCTCAAATAATTGATAATCGCATAATTTAACGATAATACTGATATAGGCTTTTTATATATATATATATAATCTTTTTTTAAAGGGCTTTTACACGGAACAGTTACAATATTTTTTTATTTTAGCATTTGTATTTGGTTTACGCGTAAACGCGAATCGAATGAAGAAGTGGTTCTCTTTTTTGTTTGAATTTATCTTTTTTCTCTTTTAATAGTGATTTTTGTTGTTTTTTTTTGTTTTTATTCTTTTTTGGCGTACGAATTATCATCTATATCATATATGTTATATTGACTAGATATTACAATACTACGGTAATCAAATGAAATTTGAGCTCTACGATAATTACATAGAAATGAAATCAACGGATTACACTTCACGCTCAGCTCACCCTGTCCGTAATTCGCCGTTTTATCGAATAGATTGGTTTAACTTAAAGAAGACAGCCTGTAACGACTGTAAGTAAGGTTTTTATGATTGGTGCCATTACTGTACATCTGTAACAGAAAATAACAATTCGTATTAATATTCGTGCCGTCAATGAATTACAACAACTATTCGCAACATTTAACAAAAATGCATCTACACAGATTTTAGATTTGTTCATTTACATAGAATTCGAAACCAGGATTGTATTTCATGGAGAATGTAGGAAGCGGAAAGTTAACTTTGAAATTCGAGTAATGAGACTGATAAGACTTAAATTAATGTTCGAAGTACCTGTTGAAAAGTTACATGCGTAATTTCTCAACTGTAACGAGTTAAATGCCAGATCAATTTTTCCACATGACTCTGACAGTGAAATGAATTTTTTTGTTTTATGTAATTCATATTATTGTAAAATATTATATAGGATACTTAAGTTTAATAGTATGTTTTATGTATTTATTTTATTGAGTAGTTAAATCGGTTAATCCTGCGGTACTGGGAACGCGTTTCTTTTATTTTACGTAATATATATATATATATATCTATTTGATATAAAAATGTATAAAAATAAATAATAGAAAGCAAAAAAAATATTGTAATGTGCCTGAAAAGTTATAAAGGTCCTCAACGATTTTACAAAATATTATATAAACATATGCTAAAAATAAATATAAAATTGTTACGTATAGTAAACATGTATCCGATTCGCTTGTTCTATTCGCTATATTTAAAAATGCATTACAACATGCTCGTATAATAAAAAAACGATTACAAATAAAATTATATTTTCTTTACATCATTTAATAATCGATGATAACATGAATAATTTTAGAAATATTATTAATTACTAAAATTATGCAGTTTTTCTAATTCAGGCATTTTCAATCACCAATAACTCTTTCCACAACGTTATTAGTAAATTCGATGGGAACCCCCGTAGCATTAAAACGTGTTAAGAGAATGTAACATAAATTATCGAATTTCAAAAGTTTCCTTCGTTGATGGCTCATTATCAGGATACGATACCTTACGTAAACGAAACAATGAGGATTAGAGAGACTTCAAACAATACCAGCTTAAAGTATGTACCAACTCAAGTACATACATGCGAGGCATACACGATGATGATGAAACAGTTATACACTCAACTCAGGACAAATAGACAGAAATACATACATATATCAACGAAGAAGAAACTTTTAAAGTAGTCCTTGCGTTATTATTGTTTCGTCGTCGGTATTCAGATAATATGCAGTTTTGTTGAAAATGTCACGTGGTTAATACATAGTCCCCCCCCCCCCCCCCGAGTTTTCATTATGAACTAGGAAAACAAATACTTCCGTGCTCGCGAATGAAACTCACAGTTTTACATACGTACGTCGTTAATTTTCAAATACTTTCCTAATTTAAACATCTTCAATTCTGTTTATTTGTTCTTTTAAAAAGACCTCACGTTAAATAAATACTTTGATCAAGGAATAAAAATAATACAAGATTTTTTTTATGTATGGTTTTTTTTTAAAACAGAAAAATAGAAAATACGAAATAAATCTCATGGATGTTTTTTTTTTTTTCGTGATTTGTAGCAAGCTGTAAATGTTGGACATTTTTGTTATTTCAATAACGGATGAGATATAACTGATATTTAGAAATAAAAACTTGTTTATAATATATATATAAATAATACGATGATATACTCGTATTTAAGTTTTATTTCAAACGGTTTCTTAATCTCCGATAGAATCAAATAATGTGCTACCGATCGTAGAAGATATTACAAAACTTTATCGTCTCTAAATAAAATCAATCTCAACGAAATAATCGATTCGTTACGATACGAGTATGAAATAAAATGAAACGAACAAAGGACAGAAATGGAATATCAGTTAAAAATACGAATACATATGCGGTTCGAGCAATTTCAAACCAACTATTTCAATATCGATGCGAAATGAAAGATTTATTTACAATTTCTAATATCAAGGGAAAAAACGTAAAAAAAATTACTATTTTCAATATAAATTAAATAAAATTATATTGAATAACTCCAAAGATTAATAAAAAAAAAAAAGATTATGAAATCTGAGGAAATAACGTGTATATAATACATGCCAATAGAGGACATATATTAATCGTTCAAACACTAAGAAATGAAATTAATTAAATGCCAATAGAGAGATTGACAATGGCCCTTTTGTTGATGTATAATTATTATATATTTTGTTGTTTTTTATGGAAACGACAGATTCGAGTAAGACAGGAAAGAAACGTGAATGAACGTGATTCCTAAACTATCTGTTTTTTCTTTTAAATAATAATTATTGAATTATTTATTTATGAATAATTATTGATGAATATTTATGCATTTTTGTTGTTCTGTGATTCGGGAACTTTGAAATTACCTAATGCCACCGTTGGGCCCGTCTTCATGTCGATCCTTTTGATGTTATCAAAGATGTTATTATTGAGATTGCCATTGTCCTCGTACGGAGACGTCGCCCATTTTTTTCCTCTCACCCCTACGAACTTTCCCCGAATCTCCCATCGTGGATTTTTCTTACCGCGAATTCCGAAATATCGGTAGGGAGATCGCTTTTCAAATTGGTACAACGATACTCCATTTCTTCTATCTTTCGTGTCGCCTGCTCGAATAAATATTTCAGGAATGGGCCATAGTCATATATTTCATATTATTCATTTATTTTTTTATTTTTATTTTTTAATATATTTGTTTCTTTCTTCCTTAGTTTCACGATGGAAAAATTCTAATCTCACTTTTTATCTTTGCCCGTCTTTATTTTCTCTACGTCTCATCGATGAATTAATACAAAAAAATAAAATAAATTAAAAACAAATTTACCAATTATCATGGAGTTCGTCTCAAAAAAAAAAAGAAACAAATCAACAAAATTTCAAAGTGGGCCATAGTCATCGTGATTGTATTATTTATTTATTTATTATTATTATTGACTTCTTTTAGTTTCATCTTTAAAAAATTCTAATCTCTCTTTCTATACTTTCGTATGTACCATCGATGTAGCAATAATAATGAATAAAAATAAAAAAAAAATTAAAGAAGCATCGCCAAACGGGTTCGTCGTCTCGAAAAAGAAATAAACAAAAAAAAATTGTAATTCTTAATTATTTTATTAATTAAAATATATGACAAGGAAGATCAAAGTTTACCTTGGAATTCCGTCGATGTTGCTTTTCCATTGATTCCATAAAGTTGTACGGCGTTCCGCTTGCCTCTCATACTTTGGAAACCCATGGGTACTCGTTTATCATTATCCTTTTTATCCTTCATACCTTGAAAACCCATGGACTCTTTTTTCTCATAATCGATTGGGTCGAAGAAATAATCGACGTAATTGTCATTTAAATCCTCGTTTAATAGATCATCCTAAATTTGATTAGAATTTAAATTTTAATTAATATATAATTCTCATCTTTCGTAGCAAGAATAATAAAACGTATATTTAAAATCAAATTGAGATAATTACTTTTGATTATATTATTATTTACATTTGATATAGTAATATTAATAATTTGAAGATTAATTGGACTTACCTGAAGACTCATAATAACTCGTTTTTCTAATTCCTCGATTATTTCATCGTAAAGTGACTTTTTTCCCCTCATACCTTGAAATCCCATGGGTGCTCTTTTTTCCCATTCCATTGAATACGCGTCCTTCTTCCCACGCATACCTTGAAATCCCATTGCCATTGCACGTTTCTCGTATTCTTCGGGATAGTCGAACAAGTATGTTTGCTTACCCCTCGTACCTTGAAATCCTATTGATGCTCTTTTCTCGATCTCTTCCAATATCTATTCAAGAGTTAGTTGCACTTTAGAATCCTTATCAGTAATCCTCATTTGACGAAAAATTTTAGGAATGACGTATGATTTACATAAATCGATAAATTACCATTTGATATATATAATATTAATTTTTTATTCAAAAAATGTGTTAATTACTTGAATTAATAATTAATTCACCAATATGCATGATCAAGTAGTTCACAATAACTTAAAACGACGAGACAGCATTTTACATATTTTAGACCAAACGCATACTAGAATTGTTTTCATTAATAATTTTCCTTTACACAGTGATAACATTTTTCAAAGTAATGTGGAATGCAATAAGGCATTTCTAACATTCCGTATCAAAAGAATAATTTAACAACGTTTTTCGCATTTCTCACGTAATTTCTACTTTCTTTGAGAATATTTTTTGTTATCTTTTTTTTTCTTCAATGCATTTAAATGATATCCATAACTTTACTGTTGTATTTCGTTTTGAAATAATAAAAACTATATAAAAATTAATAAATTTATTTTTTGTATCTTGTATTATACCTTTCATTTATTAACCGTTTATTATACAACATAAAATTTCTTTCAAATTTATTTTTCAGATTTCTGATTATCGACGTTCGTAACACGTCATTTCCAATTCTGGGACAAATAATTATCGACATGAGTAATACGTCATACTAGTACAAGTGATTTAATTAACACTTCAACTTTCAAGTATATTTTAAACGTGATCCCTGCGAGACTAATAAAACCACCATAATTTTTAATAATTTTATTTTAAGTATATACTTGGATGGATTGAATAGTTTCTAGCTTCATGTAGAAACAATTTTTTCTGATGAAACTTACTTTTATTAAAAAAAAAAAGAAAAGTTCTCTTTCGGTTCATACGAGGTCCTTGCATAGACGACCCATATATGAATCACTAGTAACGAAAGAATTAATGTATCTTATAATATTTAAAATAAATATCTAAAAGAAATGATTTCTGCTTGATTAAAAACTGTAACACATTTATGGGTGCCGCAGTACTCAGGACTTAGCTCAAATTTATAAGATAACATATAAATACATATATATATACGTACTTCTTCGAGAGATTTCTTTCCTCTCATTCCTTGAAATCCCATTGGTGCACGTTTGTAATATTCCTCCTCGGATATAGCTTTTTTTCCTCTCATACCTTGAAATCCCATAGGTGCTCGTTTTTCATAATTATCTTGATAATAAGCATCCTCAAAATCGGGAATTAGATAATCTTTTTTTCCTCTCATCCCTTGGAATCCCATGGGTGCTCGTTTTTCAAATCCTTCTGCTTCTTGCAAGAAATTGTCATCGTTTACGATTGAGTCCTTTTTCCCACGCATACCCTGAATCAATTTTGAAAATTTGAATAGAATAATATTTTGAATAATTAACACCTTACGTGCAGAAATTTATATTTAAGCAAGTTTTATCAACAAGCCACATTTACCAACAACTGTAATTTGATAATTTATTAATCATTACAAAAATTGTTTTCCCGTAATTTATCTATCACCGAAAATGTTAAACGTGGCATGGAACGTATTACCCACTAATTATTATTATTATTTGATTAATTATATCCAATAATGAAATTTTACCTGGAAGCCCATTGGTGCCCTTTTGGAAAAATCAGCGTCTTGAATAGATGTAAGATCTTTTTTACCACGCATACCTTGAAAACCCATTGGAGCACGTTTGAAAGAGAGTGCATCGTTCAACGAGGAATCCTCAGCAAACGAAATGACAATCGACACAGAGAGTAAAATCAACGAACTGATGAACATTCTGTAAAGAAAAATTTTTACCTTTGTTTATCTTCAATATTACAAATTTTTTCTAATAATTCTTATCATTTTTAAGATCTTATTGCACAGGATTAGTCCATCATTCAAATTTAATTTACAAACATAAACCCATTCATACAAAATACTACAGGTCAAATTCTCTATAGTTATCATGATCATCTCTTCCTTTGTTAATTTTATAATAAAATACTTAGAATTATATGACCTAAATTTCAATATTTTCTGTATTCTTTGGAAGACTTGTTCTATTAATACGAACTGATTTATGAATCGTCCTGTATATCGTTCAACATTTTATCAGTAAAAAAGCTGAGTTCGACCTACGTGTTTTATGAAAAAAGCATGTGTCAACGTCACTAAAATTTTATAAAAATCAACAGACACCACCAAACTGATATTAAACGTCAATGACCATGACGAAACTTTGATCTATTCATGTATTACGTGTCGTGAGAAAATCTCATCCCTTTCTTACACTTTTCACAAGATTGAAATATAAATTCGACCAGTGTCGAATGTCGTTCAAAAAGTCTAACGTTTACATCAGACGTGTATAACTTTGCTATTTTATTATACAAGTTTTATACAACCAATTTAATCTTTTTGTTAATCATTGAATCGTAATTTATAAAAAGGATGAATTAGATTTGCAATAAGTTTGATATGATCTTCAAAAGGGTTAATTTGGAGTACAAAACCTGTATTCCCTCAAATCTTTATCAGAGCTTGTCCGTATCCATGCAATTAAAGGTTGACTCTTAACGCACCTTTTGTCTCTCTCTCTCTCTTTTTCTCTTTCTCTCTCTCATTCATTCCTTTTTTCTGCGACGTATAAACCGATGTTTCGCTGATTGGATTCATTCGGTGAATTATTTCTACCTAACATCGTGTGTCGGAGAAGATAATAATACTTTACGTAGGAATTAATGGTGACTTCGCATTCTTTACCAAGAAGAAACAGAAAATCCATTTTTTTTTTCTATTGATTCTTGGAAAAGGTAAAAAAAATTGTCTAGATTGTCGAATAACATGATTTAACAAACTGTTATTATAACATTATAGTTGTAATTTGTAGAACCCGTAAAGCTCTCTTACGATGAGAATAGATGAGAGTCACGTTGACCTCGTTATCTGTTAATTAATTTATCGATGAACCAAACATACTGCATTTTGATTGTCCTTCCTTAGTGTACTACAATATTGTCAAGTTAATGATCTTTCTATTGTTTTAATTCTCAAATATGTTAACCAATTGTATTTGGTCGAGTTGGAGTACAATAAAATAAAGTGTGATTCTACATATAACAATAACTTATAACAAATGATTAATATAATATATTTTTCGTTTGAAACTTCATTTGATATATTTTTAAGTTCTACTTCGTATATTTTTTTTGGTTTCAAAATTTTCTTCTGAAGATTTAAATGATTTTGATTGACGCTATTGATGATTAAAAATCTCATAACATAACATACAAAATATTTATTATAAATAACAAAGATAGAAACCTCCACCCCCAAAACAAATATTCTACCCGTATAGAACTATTTCTAGGATAAATTTTGTATGACAACTAACTTTTCACCGTACCGTTTCCGTTCAAAATGGTACAATGTAACGAGATAATCTTAACGTGTGCATCAAGCATAAAATCAAATTCCTCAAGCGAGAATTTACGTGAAATGTAAAAATGTTTTATGTCACCTTAAATAGACTCGTAATTTCTTTTTTCTTCTTCTTTTTCTTCGTTTCTTTACTTTTGTTATTTTTTATGGGATGTATCATTATTCTTAAATTCTTGTCCATTTTTATTAGTAATGGGCATAGATCAAAATAATAAATCACGTTGATATTCTGTTGATAAACGAATAAGGAACAGTTGAGAAATACTAAATTATTCCGAACGTTGAAATTATACGCATTGGCATTTAAGTTGCTTCCATATTTCAACAATCTCTCTCTTTCCCTCTCTCTCCCACTCTGTTTCTTTTGGTTATTTTTAAAGGAATTAAATTTTCATAGGACATACTATAGTTGTAGAAATAAAGAACTCAAGTATCATTATATTCAAGAATGTTTTTGAATAATACATGACTGTTATGTTGCAAAAGGAAAATAATTCATCTTCATTGTATTTTTATTACGAATTATATCTAGAGTTTTTTTAATTTATCAGATAAAATAAATGTACAATTCAACGAATGATGAAACCGTCTAATTTTCCTTCTCTATTTTTTAAGATACATTCCATTGGCAGCTTATAAATCGCTAATTATTATAATCATTAATTATTATAATATCAAACAGAGAGTAGAAATAATTTTGAACGTAAATAACACGTGTCGATTATTTCGTTTAAAATTCTTCACCATTATGACATAAGACCTACGAGATATATTTCTTGATCGATAATTAAAATTTTAATTATACAAAAATATATTTGTTTATAGAAAAAACACGGTAATTAGATTCAAGTAATACTTAATTATTTCTTTATCGACTATTGTTCCTTCTTAAATCTTAGTAAATAAATTTATGGAAAATATCGTTTCTAATGAAATCATGATGTAATATTTTTTTAAATCACGTTGACTTTCATTAATTACGATCACATATATTTCAAATAAATAATACATAAAATCGCATATCTATCGAAAAGAGATAGATAGAGATAAAGACAGAAAGTTGTTGCACACATTGCCGTTAAAAGAATATTCATCGATATTTGGCTTTTTCGTTCTTGGAATTATTTTTAGGTTCGGCCAAATTTCCCTTGTAAAATTTAATCATAGACAAAGTTTACGTAAGGTAAGGATCGTATGTATAGTAACTTGCAAGCTCTCGAAGACGAGAGGAATAGAGAGGGGGGAGAGAGAGAGAGAGAGAGAGAGAGAGAGAGTGAGTGAAGGAGGGAAAGAAGAAGGTTGCTTATGTTGCTCGTGTAGAATAAACGAAGCGAAAATGAGAGCAAGAGAAAGGGGGAGAGAGAAGAGTAAGAGAGATAGAAGAAAAAAAAAGGATAACTTCGATATTCTATCGAAGAACAAAGAAAGAGAGAGAGAGAGAGAGAGAGAGAGAGAGAGAGTGAGAGGGGGTGATAGTTAAAGAGGGGGATGAAAGGGAGTGAAATGGGGAGTCGATTGATAGCACCAGTGACATTACACCACCGTCACAGAAGTGCTTGTGATGAAAGAGAGAGAGAGAGAGAGAGAGAGAGAGAGCTTGTGTTTCTCGCCACGGGCCGGTCGTTCGTGTAATCGTTCTGAAAGCGAGTTTGTTCGACAGACTCTTCGTTCTTAAAGTCGATGATCCAGGATTTTCTATCTAACCGAGAACTATCCTCATTCCCGTTTATCTTTATTTTCATCTTCTTTCGACTTTGATTTGTTTTCTTCCACTTTTTTCCTCCCCACAATACTTGCCGTATTAATATAATCTAAATACGAATTGAAAGACGTGTTTTATTTTGTTCTTCAAACGAAACAGCACCATTCTCTTTTCATCAATTTTTATTGTATTACTTATTTATTTTATCAATTAATTTTTCGAGCATCGTGTTTTTTCTTATCGCATTTCGCGCGTATGTGTTTTTAAAATAAACATTATTTAGAATAATCTCAAAAAGGTCAATTATAGTAAAGTAATATTTTTATAAGATATATTAAAATGTAGAATATATAAAAAGAATTGTTAGAGATTAATTAATAATAATAATTATGTTTTTTATCTAGCTGACCGACCAAGTAGGACAATATCACAGCATTCTAGACAAGTTCGGTACAATCGTCGAATCGCAAAGGTCAAAGAGAAAATATTTAGATACTCGGATGAATCCTCCTACAGCTTGTAATACTTTTCTATTTTCTTTTTATATTTTTTTCTTTTCAAACGTATCTCAAGAGAATACGATCCCTCGTGAGGGATACACAGATAGCAAAAGGGTTAAGGTTCGGCAATATTTCAGAGATTTTACAAACGTCAAAGAACAAAACAAAAAGAGATAGTAAATAAAAGAGAAGTAGAAGAAGAAGAAGAAATAATCCATTCATGCGCGTACAAGGTACAACTGTTTTTCGCATTGTACGCAACTTTGCACCGGTATTTACCTTGCATGTGTAAATGAGAACGATGCATATAAAACGATAGTATGGAAGGTCTTACACAATACGAACTCCCTCGGATTCACCCACGCTTATCAGAAAAGAAGAACACTAACTATGCCTAACGACATGCCTAACTCGTCTCGAGAAAAAACGGTGTCGAGTTCGATCTTTCTTTCTCTCTTTCTTTCATTTTTTTTTTTTTTCAACGAACCATCGTCCGACGTTCTCTCTCTCTTTGGAAAAATAATTACCCTTCGATCCAATACTTCTATAAAAAGAAAACAAAATGCCAATCGATCGTAGCTCGAAAATATTTATTATCTATTTAAGTTTTTCTAACAACCAGAGTTTTACGACATAACGAAAGTTAGCTCGTTTACTTTTAGTAAGTAGATTTTATTTTAATCCTACCCTATATTGCAGCTGATATTTTAACGTTCATTTCAAATTCCCTACCTAAGTAAGACCTAAAGCGAAAGAATCTTCTCTACTCACGAGAAAAGTTCATTGCTATCAAACACGACAAATAATTCCAAATCTGCTTGTAGATATAAGGATACGAACCGTTCAAAAGATTTTCATTTTAACAGTTATCATTTTAATCTTCATACTTACATCCTTATCTTTTTGATAATTCTGATGAAAAGATCGTTCGCATTTTTGATCGTTTTTGTTTCTTAAATTCATTTTTATCTAATATAAGAAAAATACTCGTAATCGAGATAGAGAATACATACATGATTAATAATTTCAAATTAAATATATTTATATATTCATCTTATACGCGTTTTAATTAATTATATTAAATTAAATAAACGATAAGAAAGATTGTTTATTTTTTGTATAAAAACATGATCAGATGTCTTGATACATCGT